TTTCTTTTTGTTTTGAGGAAAATTTTTCATTTACTCAATTATGTCATAATTTAGGAAATTTATGGACTAAAAATAGATTTATTGAAAGTTATAAAATATTACTTTGTAGTATTTTATTGAAAATAAAACTCCAAACCAACAATTTTATTCTAAAAATCTATCCAAATTTTATAGAAAATAAATAATTTAACTTTTTTATCTTACAAAATCTATCTAAATCTATCTAATATTTTTATCGTATGTATCATACTAATAATTAATTGTTGCCTACGTGGCTCGACACTTGGCGAAAAACTGAAATGCCAAGTGTCGCTGTCTTGTAGCCTGGTTGTGAGACCGGTTTTATTTATTAGTGACTAGTTTTGTGCCCGGACGATGCCCAGATGGTTGATAAAATTTTAATAAAATATTTTTACTTGAATGTTAAATACGGTCAAATTATTCGTTTTGATAATGTAGGATATTTAGGCATACAATATCATATTTATATAATAGTGTATTTTTGTAGTTTTTTTTGTAAATAGATATCTATGTTATTATTTACTTGAAATTATTTTTTATTGAACTTAAATTATTTTTACTGAACTGAAAGTATTTTTACCAACTAAAATCATTTTTACTGATTAAAACTTATTTTACTAATTCTCTAATATCTTTTTAAATAAATTACATAACAATGCATTTTGTATGCGGCTAGCCACACCATCTAGCCAGTGAAAGTAACCCCTATAAAACTTACCGAGTAACCCTTGTTTGAGTAACCTCTAACACTAACTAAGTAATTAACCCCTATCTATAACACTGATAGAGTAACCAGTAGCTAACCACTATAACACTAACGAAGTAACTCTTGTATAGTTGGTGACACGATTTGGCCAGCTACGTATAAAAGTTTGTGATTAAATATATTATAAATGGATCTTATTTTAAAGAATTTTTTAAAATGAATTTGATGATGAAAATAGAATTGAGTTATAGGAAATTTATTAAAAGTTATGATTAATTTTGTATATATGAAATATTAGGATTCTATTGGTAATAAAACTCTATACAACAATTTTATCTTAAAAAATCTATTCAAAAATCATTTACTTAGCATCATATGTGTCACAATAATACATATTTATCTCCCACGTGGCGCGATACTTGGCGAAAAATTGGAATGCCAAGTGTCGCTGTCTTGTGGCCTGGCTGTGAGACCGGCTTTATTTATTGGTGATATGATATGATATAATATGATATTAGAATTGGAATACATGCAAAAATTACAAAGTAATTAGTGTAATTATTATTTTAAAAAAAATATAATATATCATTTTTAGTCATCTCTTACACCCGCATTCGTTAGATTTTGTCTTAATATTTTATTTCACACATTAATAACAAAAAATGATTAATACTTCATTCGTTTCCCTAATATTGTAACAAGGAAGTAAGACATGAAATTTAAGATGAGGAAAGAGATAGAGAGAAATAAAGATAAAGATTCATTTGATGGGGGGGGAGATAGAAAAAAAGGATGCATATGTAAGAGGAAGTCCTAATACATCAGTGTTAGACACAAGCAAAATTACATAACAGTCTTTTGTACTATTGAAAGTCCTATTAGTACTACTGAGATTTTTTTTTTCAGTACTACTCAAAGTGTCTTTTGTATTACTGAAATCATATATAGTACTATTGAGAATGTTCAGCAGTATTATATTATATTTGAGTAGTACTCTCAAATTGTCGTTATTTACAAAATTGTCATTGTTATGTATTTGCTTGTATCTAATTATGAGGTGATAGGAAGCACTCCATATATAATAATGTTCTCATATTTGTGAAACTTCACAAAATAAAAATTGTTGTAATGTTAGGAGAAGGGGGTAGGGGAAAAGTATTTCGTAAACAAAGTGTAAATAGTTCATGAAATCAATATGTTAAAAAAATTAAATAAAAAAATAGTTGATCAATTGTTAAGAACTTGAGATTGAACATCGTCACACATCCCTTATCATTCCTCTTTTCCCGCTTTTTTCATTGCCTCGTTACGTGAGCAACATGGGGCCTTGTTCTCCACCATATCATTTTTTTTTTGTTTGAAGGACTCCACCATATCATCTTTTCAAGAACTTTGTCTAACTATTGTTTTTCTTTTCTCAATGAAAAAGAAAAGGAAAAAAAAAAAAACATCGCTTTTCAGTGCTCTTCTTTTGTAGAGTAATAAAAGCATCAATGCAATTCTATACTCTTCCGTTTTTCTTATTTGCATCACTTCTCTTTCATGAATGTTTTATTTATTAGCATCACTTTTATATATATTAACTTTATACCATATTTTATTATTTTTCTTTTTTATTTTAAACTTCACTGAAATAATTTATCATTTCTCTCTCTTATGGTCTCACTACTCTCTCTCACATAATTTCACTTTCATAGTCCCCACATTACTTTTAACATAATAAATTATTTATCCACTTACATTATTATATTATAACAAATTCATTCTCCTAAAACACAGTGCATTTGCAAATGATGCAAATAAAAAAAATGGAGGGAGTATAATTTTTTTCTAGTGAAGAGAAGAGCACATTTAAGTCATGAAATTGAAAGTTCAATTCACATTAATGACAATTTGGGTGTGGGATTGATAGAGTATAAAACATAGTCTTGTGCCTTAACCATGAATTCGAGTTGGGTCGACCCGTGAGGGGTTCCAGCCCGATAGAACCTTTCATTTTACCTATTAAAAAAGACTCTATATAATCTTGTATATACAGTATCTTTAAATTGTCAATATCTTAGTTAATTGTGAAAATTACTAAAAGTTGATAACATACATTCTTACAAAATAACAATAACAATATAGTCAAGTGCTGAACAATAAAAAGTATTTATCTGTACTATATTATTATTTATTTTTTTTATATATTAAAAGGCGTTGCTTTCAAAGAAATGGTGTTACATGGCACTATTCAAAGTATATGAGCCATGTCACTATCTAAAGTATATGCGCCATGTAAGCTTGTCACTTCATTTAACAAAATAAAATATGTTTGAGCTAGATTCGAACCCATAACTTTTGATACATAAAGGTAATACATTTAACATTTCAACCAACTTTTATTAATGTCTCAAATTTTACATAATATTATATATTTCTTTCATTTATTAAGTAAATTAGAGGTAACATAATTCATTTATTTTTCACAAGATTAGAATATAAATACATATGAGCTAAAATAAGGTGACACATGAGGCAATATCTGAACCACTACACACACTAACTATACAAACAGTCCAACATAATTATTAAATTAAAGAAGTACAGAAACTAGCAATACGGAGCATCGCACACACTGGTTTAATATTAAAAGGAGTATATAATTATATATTGTTGCTTATTTATTTCCCCAATTAAAGTAGTTATATTTAGCGATAGCGTTTAGGTATTGAATAATGTATTTTTTTTAACAAGGTCAAAACACTATATTATAATTTAAAGAAAAAAAAAAGGTTTTACAAAGGAGCAATTAATGTAATGGTAAGACCTTGTTTTTTTGATCTCAACTAAAATTATTTTTTACTGTACTAAGCTAGAGTTATTTTATTGAATTTAAATTACTTTTATTCAACTTAAATTATTTTTATTTGATTAGTTTTTTTTAAAGTTACCGACTTTTACAGATTAAAAATTAGGTTTTTTTTTTTTTTTTTTTTTTTTTTTTTTTTTTTTTTTTTTTTAATGTTGAACATAGCTTTATTTGTTTACAAAGTTGAAATAATTTTTAATTAAATTAAATTATTTTATTGATTATTACTTCGTATTTGAATGCGATGAAGAGAACAAGGCCTTAGAATTAGATGTAGCGTTTTGTTAAAAATATTACTCCCTCTGTCATGCGCATCACTTTGACTTTAATACTACTAACATACTACTATTTTTTTTTACTATCTAATTTATTAAACCAAATGTTATTAAGAAAACTTCTGTTGGATTATTCACGATGTACATATTTTCATAATTTTAAAATTTTATAAAATAAGCCAACAAAAATTAAAGATGTTAATGGTCAAATTTTTATATTAACATGTGTGTTAGTCAAAAACAGAATAATACCGCATTTCAAATGTAACATGTAGGGTTTGTCCAATTTTAGTTGCTTAAACTATATGTATGTTTTTTTAAATGTATTTTAATATTTTCAATTGCTATTTTTGTAAAATACTTGTACTATCAATAATTAATTTGACGTTCGACCTCTATGGTTCCTTCCACTACAAACTACAAAAACCTAGTTTTTTTCACCTTAAAAAAATATTCAGAAAAATAATGTTCAGTTCAATAAAAATAATTTCAATATAATTAAAATAATTTCAATTCAATAAAAAATAATTTCAGTGTGGTTAAAATCAATAACTTTAAAAAATAAATACGTAGTATAATAGAGAATTAGTAAAATTAATTTCAAATTCAGCAAAATTAATTTCTAAGTTCAATTCAATAAAATTAATTCATTTCACCAATTTTTTTTTTTTTTTTTTTTTTTTTTTTTTTTTTTTTTTTTTTGGTGTTTAGAGAGCCACAAGACGAGGATGAGGATCGATCTCAGAATCTCCTAAAACCGGGAGGAAAGCTCTAACCATTTGAGCTATCCATCACTCTGTTATTTCACTAAATATGAGGTGAAGAGAACCCGGCCTAATTGACAATTACACATTAGTCCATTACTTACTATTCGATATTTGACTACTTGACCACTAAAAGCTACTACTCCGTAGTATGGAGCACGTACTAGTGCTGAATGCTATCTTTATCGATCAGTGCCTAAATCTTATGTATAAACTTGATCCGCCTAATTGGAGCTGCAAGTTTTTAGTATTGATTAAAAAAAAAAAAAAACAAGTGAGCTAAATTTCGAAAAATAATCGAGTTTACATGTTTGAATGGTTTTCAATTATTCATCAAAATTAATTTAATTAAAAAGACCATAAACTATTAGACAATAATGTGATTGCAGTGGATGAATGAAACTTGATTAATGCTGAAAGAAGCCAAAATAGACATGTTAATTTTGTACATCATCACATCTAATTGGTTGACCATGTAAAACAAATTCTAACTCTGTACTAATTTGTACCTATTTGCTACTAGTAGGAGAACAACCCATTATTAAAGGTGAAGAAGGTGTCACTGATTTTGTTTTGCAATTCTTATTATTAACATTAACAGGTTCCGAAGGCGGCGAAGATGATAAAGAAGATGATGAATTATTAGATGATGTAGTAAACCTCTTTGATGAGCTGCTCTCCGTGTTCTTGTTCACTTGTTCATTCCCAATTTTTTCTTGTCTACGATGCTTCTGTTGCTGGATTCTCGTCGTCGTTATACTCACCGGAATCACACAGTTGCATACGATTCCTGTGCATTTAGGAATTAATTAAGATAGAGTATATAAATCGATCCTGAACTTCTACCAGGAGCTTATGTTTTTGGTTGGTCCTATGACACATTATACTACTGAATACTACGCACATGATAAATACGATTTACTAATCAAATCTTATTGTTTGGATTTCAAATTTACCTATTCGAGCAAGGCGATTAACCCAAGTTGGGATATGATTTCCTGTAAGCTTAATGCAAGCGTCATTGCAAAAATGGTTGCAATTCTTCGTAATAAGATTATAAGCATTCCCTTTATACTCCTTTGAGAATTCTTCCATTATTTTCCTCACTTCCTCTGCTCCTAACTCTGTCCATCCTATTAATATCGACTTTCTAAATATAAATCCTTCGCATTTCTTCGGCTCCCCCTCGAAAATCCCCGTAGAGGGGTACTCGTGCGCTCCAAATGCGTACTCGACTCCGTGAACTGCAACAATAACAATTAGGTACGTCTTGCAGGTGTCTGCATTATATTTACGAATTATAAAACCAAACGATTAGATAAAAACAAGGTCGATAAGGGACTACCTTGTACACCCGAGTGGTAGACCCCTAGGCCGAGCCAATAAGCATAACCATTAATCGGAGTAATATCGTAGACATTGAGATAAACCGGAATCGAACCACCAACATCAACACAAGTTTTTTTCCTACACAACAACATTTTTAATTTGATGAATCTCAATACTAGCATTACTAGTTTACTAAACTACACCTTCTAGTAGTAGAGTATATTAAGAATAAAGGGAATATTGGATTAATTGAAATTCTTTTGGGGATCCCACCGGTGGCAAGTAGTAGCCGCGCATAGGCATTGATTCAAGTGCTTTTTTTTTCTTACTTTTGGGTGATTAGAATAAAATATTTGGGGTTTAGTACTAGTTTTTTGGGTGGATTATTGGATCTATGAATATAATTTTTTTTAATTAAACTATGGTGGGGATTAAAATAAAAAATAAAAAATAAAAATTATGGTGTAGGGTTGGTTACAGCTTTTTTAGCTGTCTCGATCTTGAATTGTGTTTTAAAATTTAAAAATTTGAGTTGCTATTTTCCACTTTTTTATGAGACAAAAGTAACGTACACTCATAATAATGGTCCCGAGTGGGGATACTAATATTCAAGATTAATTTGACACAACTATTGATACATTGTTTCTAACTTTCTATATTGATGCCTTATATATATTGATGCGCAATGACTTTTTTTAAAATTAATACTTTTTTGGTTCTTTTTATATTGTATTAGGAGGGATTTTACGCTTGTCAATCCATTATTTTAGTTATTAATATTTTCAATTATACTTTTTTAAAATTATAAAAAATTAATATTTGAAAAGTAGATTTCGAGACCAATCTAACTAGATCCCATATGACTATGTTTTTTCCAAATGATAAATCACAAATGATGGTCAAAGAAGATTAAGTGAATATTGTAAAAGTCCTTATTGTGCAATAAAAGAAAAATGGAGGAAGTATCATATACACCATTAAAATTTCAAAAAGTTTTATTTGTGGTTGGTCATACCGTGTGATCGGAGTTACTTGATCAGGAATTACTCATTCGGTCAGGGGTTGCTCGATTAATACTTACTTGGTCGGTTATGGGTTACTCGATTAGGACTTACTTGGTCAGTGTTTTGGTGTGTGCCCGCCGGCCACACAGAAAACGCGCTGTTACAATTTATATTCATAGAATATTGGATGATTCTCGGATTATATAAATATTTTTTTTTGATGAGTGCTATAATTTAAAATATCAAAAATATTTTGAACGATTTCCCTATAAATTGTTTAAATTAAAATTAATTCTCACTTTGGGTCGTTTTAAAAACAAATTCCCTATACGATGTCCACGTAGGATCGGGTCACTAATTTTTTCAAGCATTTTTTAATATGTAAAACCGCTAGTGGCAATAACGATTTTATCATTAAAACCGCAATCACCATCGGCGGTTTATCAATAAAACTGCTGACTTGTTTTTTTCTTTTTTTTTAATGCCTAACCTTTTGTATTCCTCTTTACTTGTTTTATATTCTATTTTCCCACGATCATCTTCTTCACTTAGTCCTTTTTCACAATAGCAAAGCAGGGCAATACTCTGAACCATACTTCTATCAATCGTCAATTGTCATTGCCAACAGTCTTATTAATTGGTCTACGAAATCTGATTTCTTAATTGGTCTACTTTTGAGAATTTTTGTCAAGGTGTATTGCATTTTCAGTTGGCTACTAATGGCATTATGTCTTATTAATCCCAATTCCTTATCTTATTTTTTTCATTGGTTAACAGCTTTATCAGGTTTGGAATATATTAATATCAGTGGGCAGTAGGAGGTGGGACTGTCATAAAGTGAAAAAAAGTTGCAAAAAAGTTGCAGTTAGAAACGCTAATACTGATGTTGGTTTTACAAATACAACCGTTACCAACAATTGCGGTTTTAAAATATAAAACCGTTACTATCAATATATGCAAACTGCTAACACCAGTTGCGGTTCTACACTGAACAAAAAAAAAAAAAAAAAAATATCAAGGTTAAACCCGATCCTACGTGGACACCATGTAGGGAATTTGTTTTTAAAACGACTCAAAGTGGGAATTAATTTTGATTTAAACAATTTCTAGGGAAACCGTTCAAATATTTTAACTTCGTAGAGATAGATATAAAAAAATATAAAAAAAAAATGAAAAACCTTAACCGTTTATTGGATATTATATGTAATTCACAATTTAGATAGATTATTAATATATTTATTTATCAAGTTAATTGATATTTTGAAAAATATATGGTCAGATGTATTACTTTTTCTATTTTATTTTAAGAATTTAATCACCCTAAGGTTTAAAATTATGGGTGTATTTTATATTAAAATTTTAAGTAGATTTAAGTGGTTTGACTTAATAAAACTTCTCTCCTAAGGCAAATCATAGTTGACACTCTTGACAGTGCAGTCATAGAGACACATCTTTAATCAAATATTGTTATTAGTAGCTTTTAAGATAATATTATATGATTACATCCATTTTAAGTTTTAGTTAATCACTTTCTGTTTCATCCTTACATGGACAAATAAGAGAGAGAAGCAGGTTTATTTCCATACAAAAAAAATCGGGTTTTGGACTATTGGTGACCAAGTGGTTAGTAATTTGGGTTATCCTAGTTTTGAGGCCAGGGTCTTCTTCCACAACCTCTACACCGGGCTTTAATTTAAAGCCCAAGTCATCACCATGATCAACTAAGTACATTGTAATAATTGATGAAGTTTGGCTTTTTTTTTTTATTTTTTTTATTTTTTTTCCAGGAGGTTTGGCTATTTTGTAAATGGATCTTGCTAACGAGCGTCTCGGGGCGTTAGATAACTATTGAATATATTGCTTAAAATAATATTAAGTTAGTAATGCATGACAAAATCAGATCACGCGTTGTTCGATGTAATTAATATTAATTTTATTATAATATTTTCACTTTTAGTTATCTTATCTAATTTGAGGGTGTTCGTAGCTTTTGCTTTCGTAAATTGGTATTTCATTCATAGGATTATTTTATGTGCGACACTTTGATAATTTAATCCGCTCAAAGTTTTAAGTGGTTGAGTTGAATTTGTTAAATATTACTATGTATGAATTTGGGATTTGGTAGGGCTCCTTACATGGGTTTTAAACAACTCAGCTCAAAGTGCAATGAACTATTGTATTTAGGGGTGTTAATTCATGTAACCAGGTGTAGTTTCGATTAACCCACAATGGGTTAATTCCATTCGGCCAAGGTTACACTTTTGGATTGGGTCAATTTCGAGTCAAGGTCTGTCGAGTTAGGGTCTGGTTAACTTTAAATCGGTTCTATTGCGTTCAAAACTGGTTTGACCAGGTTAATTTCGAGTTAGATGACTTTGGGCCGGGTTGATTTCAATTCGGTTAAGTTCAATTTAATTTGATTAGGATAAGGTTGATTTAGTATTGGGTCAATTCCAATTTAAATTCTTTCAGGTTTGGTTGAATTTGGGTTGAGTTGATCAAATTTAATATTCAAAATTTCAAATAAGGTCACTTTTAAAATAGTGTTATTATCGAGTTATTACCTTATTATTGGGTCACTAAATCACTATTAGGTAATTGATCATGTATCATTTTTCCATATCGTGTCATTAATAATTACATAGTAGTAGTTTTCTCATTGGATAAGTTTTTGTGTCATTTTTATTTTTAAGATAGACAAATTAAAATCGAACTATAATTTAAATGACTTATCATATCTACATTGGTGAGAAGATAAGTAAAGAACTAAGGACAGATTGATAGATGGTAGCCAAATGTTGATTAAATTGAACTTGAGTATAGTTAAAACATCAAATTGAAAGAAGATCCAGCTTACAGGTTTGAATGGTTTTCTATGATTCAATCAAATTTAATTAAAAAGAGCATGAACCAGGACACAATAACATGATTTACAGATGTAAAAACAGTATATGAATGAAACTTGATTATTGGTGAAAGTAGCCAAGATAAACAAATTAAACTTATACAACATCACATCTGGCTGGTTGACCTTGTAAAACAAGCTCTAACTATGTACTAGTTTGTTGCTATTGGCAAATTGTTACTAGTAGGTGAACCCAATATCAAAGGTGAAGAAGTTGTCACTGATTTTGTTTTGCAATTCTTATCATTAACATCAATAGATTCGGAAGGCGGCAGCGATTATAAAGAAGATGATGGATTAGATGATGTAGTGAACCTCTTTGATGAGCTACTCTCTATTTTCTTGTTCGCTTGATCCTTCCCTTTTTTTATTTTCTACGAGTCTGCTGCTGGTGGATTCTCGTCGTTGTTGTACTCGCCGGAATCACACAGTTAAATACCCTTCCTGTGCATTTAGGAACCATTCATTCTATTAGTATGTGCTAAACACAACCAACTTGTCAAATCTAATCGCTTGGATTATTTAAAATGTACCTATTCCAGCGAGGCGATTAACCCAAGTTGGGATATGATTTCCTGTAAGCTTAATGCAAACGTCATTGCTAAAATGGTTGCAATTCTTTGTAATAAGATTATAAGCATTCCCTTTATACTCTTTTGTGAATTCCTTCATCACTTTCTTCACTTCCTCTGCCTCTAACTCTGTCCATCCTATCAATATTGTCTTTCTTAATTTGAATCTTTTGCATCTCTTCGGATCCCCCTCGAATATCCCTGTTGACGGGTAAATTTGTGCTCCAAATACGTACTCGAATCCATGAACTGCAACAACAATTACATACGTCTTGCAAGTATGTGCATCATATTTACGGAGTACAAAACCAAACAATTTAATAAAACAAAGTCGATAAGGGACTACCTTGTACATCTGAGTGGTAGACACCAAGGCCGAGCCAATACGTATAACCATTAATAATAGGAGTAATATCGTAGACATTGAGGTAAACCGGAATCGAACCACCAACATCAACACAAGTTTTCTTCCTACACAACTGCATTTTATTTTATTTTATTTATTTTTTATTATTCTCAATATTAGCATTATTAGTAGCTTTAATAAACTACAACTTCTAGTACACTGTACACTCATAATGGTCCCTATTCCCTAGTGGGAACTGGGGATATATATACTAATATATCAAGATTATTTGTTCACCTTTCTTCAAAAAAAAAAAGATTATTTGTTCACCAAAAAAAAAAAAATATATATATATTCAAGATTATTTTATATGATGTAATATAACTTTTGTTTACTGACTCCAGCATTACATGCATGTATAGTCGTAGAAAATTAGGTGATTTACCGATTAAGTCCACTATAAATAATTTTTTATCGACCAACAGTCCAAGACTATAATTAAAATCTACAAATACATTTAACTTGATGGAGATGGGTATGGAGAAAGAATATATGAACAGCTTATTATATTATTATATGTTAATGCTCAACTTATATAGTTAATATGAACTTGTATTTCGTTGGATGATATTTTGAAATGATGTAATGGACATTGACACTTTCTCTTTCTCATAGAGTATATAAATTAAAATTAATTGTGGATTTCAATCATTAAGTTACTTTTTGGTTGAATTGGTCTTTTAATGTAGTGTCAGAGTCAGACCCCACATTATTTAAGACCTTTAATTGTTTTAGTGTACTTTGAGCCAAATTATGGTTTCGAATTAAAAAGGGACCTTACCTATGAAGGGGAGTTTTGAAGTAACCCTTCCTTAACAATTCGTTAAATGGTGCCAAAATTAAAATATTAATTTATTATTAAAATAATAAAGATTTTATATATTAAGGTGTCTTAATACACGTCGAGATCGATTTTTATAAGGTGGTAAATTTTTTTTTTATAAAAAACTGAAGGGTGATGAAA